AAAAWAAWWAAWTAAWTAAAAAGTGCTGGAGGTGTAATTCAGCAGTAGAGCCCTCCTGGGTTCAATTACCAGTACCTCAAAACAAAAACAAAATTTTAAAAAAGTTCCTGCCTTACAGTTTTACAGTATTACATGAGACCACATAATATAAAGCAGTAGCGTTGTGCCTGGCAAATAGTACATGTTCAATCGTGTTGTTGTGTTTCCTTTCCAGTTTAAAAAAAAGCATATCACAAAAATTTGGGGACTCTCTTCAGTATTGGAGATAGTGTCCATTTTTGTTGTACAAAGAGACACTCTCCTCAGGTTTTTTTTTTTTTTTTAAGGGAGCGGATGCTGAGAATTAAACTCAGAGCCTTCCTCCTGCTGAGCACATACTCACCAACTGAGCTATCCCCTCCCCAGTCCCTCTCTTGCCTTTTAAACTACATGCCAGAGCGTTTCATTTCACTAGAGCAAATTCTTAAGGTTCTAGAAAAAATGAATGCCTCGCTGGTGGTACCTGTTATACCATCGGTGATCAGACACCAGCTGATTTTGTCAAGTCTTTATCTTTTCAATTCCTTCCCACCGTTCCCAGCTTACCTCAGATCCTTTCAGTCCAACAATGGAAATAGTTGAACCAGCAACACACAATTCTTTTCAAATCTATGTGGCATGCCCTCCTCCTGAGTGGAAAGCYATGTTTTGCTGCTCTAAGAATGAGCAGCAACTTAACTCACTCAGGGCTCATCTTCTCTCTGCTACCAGAGTGGTCACTGGCAGTGGTGCCAATAATGGTTTAAAGACAGTCAGTTTGAGAACTATTGGGCCGCTTCCCAAGGTTAATGACCTCCACAAATCCATTCAAATTTGATTTTTTTTTTAAATTCTATGCTGGGGATCAAACCCAGGGCCTCACAAATAGTARGCAAGCACTATACCACTAGGTTATATCCCCAGGCCTAAATTTCCTATTTTTTTTTTTTTTACAAACTCTATCATACCACCAACTACCCTAAACTATAGTGTCTAATCTTTCATGTGAATTTGTCTTTTCTTTCCACCTAAGTTCTTCCTGTAAGCTAGGAACCATATCATAAGTATTTTGTTTCATACCAAGTGCCTCATATACTGCTGGTCTCAYCCAAAGAGTTCAGTAAATTCTTTCTAGAGGGCTTTTAAGTTCAATACACCAAAATGCAAGGGCCTATGTCTAGAGATAGGCTATGCATCCACTTTATAGCTTTTTTGTAAACATTTTAATTCTGGAAATATGAAGTTTATAGCAACATATTCTCTTTCTTTATTTAGCCCTGTTATGAATTTCAAACCAATTAGATTGTCCAATTTAGATTCTCTTGTTTTGTCTGTTTACTAGTTTATTAACTTGCTGTGTACAGCTAARCAAGTTATTTCATTCATCRAAATCTTAATTTCTTCCTCTGCTAAGTGGTTTCTAAATTTCTTCCCARCTTTCCAAGGTACCTGATTCTAGGATGYGCAAGTGAGGAATATTTTTCAAGACCAAACAATGGTGATATGGAACAGTTTAACTATCTATGATTATTCACCATGCTGCTGTTAAATGTCATTTTGTACCTTTCTTTGTACTTTCAGTCTTGGCTGAATATTTATCATTGACTCCTGAATCACTTAAAGTCTTCACCAATTCTGCATGTCAGTGTTTGCAGTTACAATGGAATGTCCACGGACTTCCTTATCATCAGGAATTGAAAATGGTATTTCAGATGGAGATCAGTAGAATTAGACCATCCAACGTCATCTGGATGGTAAGTATTTTTCTTGGGGGCTCAATATTTTTAATATCCTTCCATGATTTATCCTTATAACATCTACAAAGTCTGCAAACACAATAACAGCTCCAAACAGTTTTTCTAAACAGTTGCATTTCTGTGTTTTTGGTTCAGAGAATATCCAGGACGAAGTAACAATGGCCACTTTGGTTTGATGGGATGTTTTATGAAAACAGATTATTTTCCCAGTTCTGTTCTTTCCTGTAAGAAGGCTATTAGGCCCATTCTTGTGAGTACTAGATTCCTAAGATCCATGAAGATCATTCATCTCTCTTCCCTTTTTTCTTCTCTGTCCACCASAGATTTTCATGAATGTTTTATTTTGGTAACATTTTTCTTGCCAGTGTGGCTTCCTGTCACTTTCTTCGCTTAYACCATGTTGAAATGCAAGGAAAAATAAGTAGCAGTGCTTCATGTTCGAGCCAGCAAAGAGGTTCTCCATGGGCCCAGTTGGAAAATAACTTAGTGTTCTTTGTCTCCTTCSGTGTGGATTTTCTACCAAAAAATTAAGTTAAGAAAATCTTAATTTCACTCCTTTTCTCTTTGGATTATTTGGAGTAGATTTTCACTCATCGTGGTTCAAATTAGGGTCATGTCTGTTGTGCCTGACACTTCTAGTGCCTTGGGACACATGGGTGGTTTCTTCCCACTACCGTTTCTGCTCTGGGAAACCTTAATAACAGAAGGGTCTGCTATTATCATGGGAGGTTTAAGGACAGTGGGATGTTCTCTTGTTGAAGCAACCTGAGATTTTCCCTGGAAGCACAAGACTGCTTGGGACCTTCCTTAGCCCAGTAGAGGTCCACCTTCTCTCAGGCAGAGGAAACCTTGGGTGCAGGGATCCAGGATGTTAGTTCCTGTAGTAAAGCCCAGAGGTTACCACTGCTTCAGCTGCTTTCTTTCTCCATTATTGTATTTGACATCCAAGCAAGTAGCCTATGATCAGTAAAATCCACACGGGACTCATACCACGTCTATAACCGACCACTCCAAAGTCAATTTCCTCCAATGAGAGTTGTCTAGTGTGCTGATTTTAAACAATGGTAATGCTGTGTAGCTGTCCACTTCCACCGTCAGCTCGCCTTCCCACCACTCCCCTCACATTCAAATCTGTTTTTTTTTTTTTTGATGTGTGTGTGTGTGTGTGGTTTTAATGGATAAACTGGTTGTTGATTTGGGCTGGAAAAACACTGAACAAGGGTCTTATTTAGGCTAAAAATGGTCCAAGAAAAAGAAACCTGGGGGGAGTCCTGGAGGAATTTTTAAAAACTAGCCCTTATTGCTATTAACAATAATAACATTAACCCTAAAGCAAGTGTATCTTACGCTGTACTTTCCTAAAGTTGTCATGTCAGTTGTAGTGTCAGCCAACTGGATCCCCCTTTCCCCCACAGCAGTTTTTCATGTCTGTTTTCMCATTAGATTCATGCCGTAGTCTCTTTGCAAGGTAGAGCAGCTTGTGGAACCAACTAACTTATTAGGGTTATTACTTATTCTCTAACTTATTAGGGTTCAAGATCTTTAAGAGTCAAGATTTTCCTTGTCTGTTGTGTTGTTCTCACAACACCCAGCCCRGCCTGATGACCACAGAGGAGAAAGTCACAGTCCAGAGAGATTTGCTGTGTTCCTCCAGGTGACAGAGACAGGGTGGTATCCTCATGTGTCCACCCAACAGGGAGCGCAGCCATATCCCCGGGCCATCAGTGGATAACAGAATAGATGTTGCCCTGAGAAGCTTTTGTCTGACTCTCTCATGCCTCAAGTTGAGATAAGACATAGGATTCTTCCTCAGTTATAGAAGAGGAAGAAAGCCAACCAAGCGAGATAGGCTGCCTCCGTATGGACAGTATTCTCCTCCCCTTACGGCAGATTCCACAACACAGGCCTGACAGAGCATCCTCACTCATGCTGAGAGGAGCACTGTTTYAGATCACGGTGTTCCCAAATGAGACAGAAGAAAGGCATCTTGATCCAGGTGCCTAGAGCAGGGCCAGGGCCACCTCCTGGACAGTGCTGGCCATGCAGAGCCCTGCTGGCAGACTCACACATCACCCTGCCCTGGGCCAATGTTCTGCCCTTCCCTTCCAGCCAGTTGCCATGTGATTTTGTCAACAGCAGGAATAGGCAGAGTGACAGCTGACGCTTGGAAGGAGGCCCAGAGTGTGAGTCAGGGATAGAGCTCATGCTTCAGCAATGAATCGGGGACCTCAGTTAGACTTCTGTGTCAACGTGTGTCTACCCATTACTAATGGTACCCAGTGCCAAATTAAACTTGCCCCTTCAATGAATAAAAGTGGCCCAAAKGCAGGTCATTATACCCAGTCTGCCCAGTTGTCCAGTCTGGTYTTGAACTTGTGATCCTCCTGCCTCAGCCTCTCAAGTCACTGGGAATTCACACATGCATCACCACATCCAGCCATCATATTTTTTACAAATCACTGCATTGGGGCTGGGGATATAGGTCAGTGGTGGAACGCTTGCTTGGCATGTGTTTGATTCTCGGAACTGTGTTTGATTCCCAGCACTGCATATAAATAAATCAAATAAAGGTTCTTGACAATTTTTTTTTAAAATCACTGAATTTCTGTATCCAAGGATTGTTTTATCCTTTACTTACAAGTCTGTAAAGACCACAAAGCACAAGTTGAGATGACAAACAATCCACACAAAGTCTCTTGGAGAAACACAACACTGAAAATTAATGATGTAACTAAATCACTCATTACACAGTATTTATAAACTCTGGGTCCAGGTAGAGCATTGTGCAAGGTGGGGCATATGGGTGCTGAGCATGCCAGCAGAGAAAAGGGGATGCACATACAAATAGACTGTTCTAAATGTGGGGTGTGCGTGCAGGTCATTGACAGGCACCATGGGATTGGGGTTGACCTCCTGCAACTTGGATGTAGGGTTGTTTGAGCCAAAATRTGAAAGAGATCTGGAAGTAATTTAGTGGGGAATGTGGAGAAAGACTCTCTGGGAAAAGCTGATGGGTGGGATCAGAGGCCTTAAAGTGGGATGGTGGCTGGAGAACTGCCAGGCCTGGATGCAGGGTGCTGTGTGGGAGCTCTGACCATGTGGGGACAGGCCGGGCCAGGTGGGACTGGGGCCTCACTGCACAGAGCCATGGGAGACACTCAGGTTTTGCTTCTTATCCAAGAGCAATAAAAATAAGGGCAGTGGCAAGATCTGATTTGAGTTTTTTAAAAGCCCACTCAACCGCACAGTGGAGAACAATTAGGAGAACAGGAGAAGCAGGGGGAAGTAGCTGGGAGGAGTGGGCTTCAGGGTTGGGCCAGAGACAAGAGAAGGGGCTGAATTTGAGGGAGTTGCAGGAGGTAAAATCCAGTCTGTGACTTGTTGACATTTAAAGGACTATTGTTATCATTAACATAATTCTTTAAAGTTCTTTTCTTTCTTCCTTTCTCTCTCTCTCTCTCTCTTTCTTCCTATATTTGCTTTTATATTAAAAATGTGTCTTATAATCTAGGAATAAAATCATTCAATAAGGTGAAATAAGCATTTAAAAAATTACAGTTTGTTACAGAGTAAAAAAAGGAAGAATACAATTCAGTGCCACTGAGTGGGCCAGGGTGTTTTGATTCCAGAAAAAGTCCCAGAGAAAGATTCCAGAGAAAGATTCCAGAGAAAGTCCCAGCTGCTGCCTCCAGGTGGTTGTGAAATGCAGGTCACCCAGCCTGTCCATTGAGACTTATTTTCCCTTAGATATGTGGGTGCAGATGCAGATTCAGGTTCCCCAAGGAAGTGCAAAGTATGTATTGCTTCTATTCCCAGCTGTGGGAGCAGAAAGCAGAAGTCATGRGAGAGGTACACTGAGAAGAACGAGTGCTTAAAGCTATGGGGGACACAAACAATAAGGAAGCATAGTCCCTGCTGTTTCAGGACCATCCTAGAGTCACAAATCAATACTAAGACCTAAACATCATATTCTTGAGAGCTTCAAGGAGGTGGAGGTTGGGGGAATTAAGAAGAAAGAGCAATAAAGGCTTCATGGGGGATGGGGGGTGTAACCCAGTAGTAGAGTGCTTGCTTAGCATGAGCAAGGCTCTGGGTTCCATGCCCAGCACCAYTGGATAAAGAAAATCTCATCAAGGAGATAGGGCATGACCTGGAAGTCAAGAATGATACTGGTTCCTAATGCAGAGGGAAATAGGGTAAACTAATCCAGAAACACTGCATGAACAAAGAGCGAGCAACGAGGTGTCAAGGAACAAAGCATATCCCAGATATGTTGGAATATGGTTCCAGAGAGAAGATTCTTGAGAGAGAGAGAGAGAGAGAGAGAGAGAGAGAGGTGTATCCTGTTTGTAGACGACCTTGAATGACAGGATAAGATATAATGGAGCCATTGGAGCTCTTGAACTTGAGAACAGAGACGCCAATGTCTTGGAAAGATCAAGACCAGAGGCTGTGCCAAAAGACCAAGTTAGAGTTCAACCTGGACAAGCTTCTCAAAGAAACAGTGTAAGACATTCTATGTGATTGACATCTCTAGGAACAAAGATTCTGACAGATGAAGTTCATCTTGGGGTTATTGGTCCACACATCCACCATATCTGAAAAGACAGAGAAAATCAAGGGTGACATGGAGAGCTATCTGTTGACTTCTGGAGACAATGAAACTTCCAGGGTGCCATGAAGGACCGTTCTTTCTACTGAGATTTGGCCAATATAATCTAATCCTATCTAAAAATGAATACTTAAAAACAACTCAATGACAAAAAAATGACTCAATTCTCTAGTTTTCAGGAATCTTCTTTGCGGGTTCTCTAACTGGCTCTAAGAACCTTCTGTCACTGATCTTCTCCCCAAGACTTGAATGACTTCTCTTTCCTCTCCCCTGGTCCCCCGGAGTTGGAAAGTCATAGGAGTTGAGAGCTGAGTTTTCAAGAGGCAGGAGGCCAGTTTCCCACTGCTGAAGCGTCAGAGTCAGGGAGATTGACGGATTGGGGACARACTTTATTTGTACATGTGGTGGAGTTGTAATGGGGTATAAGTTTGTGCTTTGGGGTAAGTCAAGTTGAGCTCTTTTTCAGAACAGGATGGCTATATGATTCCAAATATTTCCTTTACTTTCAGGGGAATTATAGCACCACAGTGAAGCGGGACCAAGTTCTGCACTGGAGCTGGGAATCCGAACTCCCTTTGGAATGTGCAACACATTTTGTAAGAATACAGAGTATGGTGGACGATGCCAAGTTCCCCAAACTGAGTATCTGGAGCAACTGGAGCTCATGGGAGGAAGTTCATGGTAAGAAGTGAGGTGGTTTTTGAGCTGGGCGTAGTGGCGCATGCCTGTAATCCCAGGCTTGGGAGGCTCAGGCAGTAGGATCATGAGTTCAAAGTCAGCTTCAGCAATGATAGGCAGTAAGCAACTCAGTGAGACCCAAAATACAAAATAGGGCTAGGGAAATGGCTCAGTTGTCAAGTGCCCCTGATTCAATCCCTGGTACCAAAAAAATAAAAATAAAAAATAAAGCTAAAGCAACATCAACAAAAACCTCAGATATCTGTCTCTCCACAGCAAACTTTATAACCTTACTTTTAGTTCTAATTTATATTAGAACAATCTTCCCACCCCGTTGTTTTAAGGTAGCAAGAATAGCATGAGGGAAGATGCAGATACACTYGACTCTRGGCCTCCCRCATGGCTGCTCTCTATAGRGCTATTATGTTCAYTTAAAAATGGCAATAATACAGGAGTTGGCAGTGGCACTGGTAATGGTGCCATCTTTGGCAATAAAGGCAACAGTGGTGGTTTTAGTGTGACAATAGGAGCCATGGTGAAAGCATTGCCTTATATGAACCAAAGGATATTGGTTTGGTGTAGAAATTTCATTTCCCCAGGAAATGAAAATAGCTAAAGCCGTCTTCTGAGGGTGAGGTAGGAGGGGTTTGTCTCAAGTTCTAAATGAGATTCTAACCAAGCTTTTTTGTCTTGCAGTTCAAGATTATCCTGGACCAAGTACATTGTTAGTATTTCCTAAAAATAAACTGGTAGAAGAAGGCTCCAGTATCACTATCTGTTATATTTCTGGGATTAATCACAATAACATAACCTGCTACTTGCATAATGAACTGATTCATGGAGAACAACTTGATCCAAAGGCTTCTGCATTCAAGTTGAATAATGTTTCTTTTTTTAAGAGATCAGGGACAAATTTCTTTTGCAAAGTGAACCAAACAGAYATTCAAAATGGCACCACTTTCTTTGTGTCAAGTAAGTGTACAAATCTTGTTTCCCCCTCTTCTCATTTTCTGTGGAGTGCACTGACTCTCCTTTACCAGAAGACAAGTAAACATTTCCGTGAATGATCTTAGTTTCCTTTTGTTTCCCAAGTCTTCTAGGAGAGAGTCTGAAAATGGAATTCCAAAGCAATGTTTCCAGGATTTCCTGTTGTTTCCTTGCCCATATAAACAATTTTATTCCTAGAAACTGACAGGCCTAAAAGAGAGAAAGCTCAGGTCATGACCTGGACTACTAAGGAAGTAGCCGACTCTGCCTCAGCTGGAGTGGAATCAGTCATCTCAGGACCATGGAGGGAGGAGGGGGCTGCAGATCATCTGACCACAACAACACAGTCAGGGTGGTGGCCCGGAAGACGTGTGTCCAAATCGTGCCCTGGCTGGGCCTGTGCTCTTGGCCAAGTTTTCTAGCCTTTCTGAGCCAGTATGGGGGTGATGGTGGTTGGGGGGTTTATGACCATGGGCAGTGCCAGGCCTCAACGCACTGGTGGCAAATACCAAAATTTCAACAAATGGTGGCCATTCTTGTTCTAAATTGTGGGGAAAGTTGATTCTGTGGGCTATATCAGGAGAGTGGGGACATGTTGACATTTCTGCAGGTCTCTGTGTGCCCACTCAGTGGCCTCCTGTGCTTTGTCTTAAGTGCCTCATTTCCTTGGACTGTAGGACAATACCTGTGACAGCTCTCTTCCTCCCTCTATTGTCAAAGTGGATAATTCCAGTCTCTTGGGATTATCTGTGTGCCTTAATGTGGACACTGGGAACAGCAGTGACTCCAGCATCCCAGAGGTGCTTTGCCATTTCTGGGACACTCAGCTCCCAGCTGTTGAGTTTATCCAGGTCACAGAGTCTGACTTTCTAACATCTTCTGGGCTTTCTGTAAGTCACATCACCCAAAATGAAACACCAAACAGGCACTGGGGACACATCCTCTCAAATGGACATGGTGCCGACCTCTTGCATAACACTGACCACCCATTCCCATGATACCCCAGAAAATCACAGAAGAGGGGGCTTCGGAATGATGAGGTGCCTGTGATGTGACTTTATTGGGCTATTGATATGTGGACTTCCACTCTGAGTTTTCTTCATTGTTCTGAGTAACCCTATGGCTTCAGATCCKGACCAGAGCTTTCCATTTAATCTGTCTTTCAATAAAAGTGTTTCATTAGGTCTTTCATCTGTTTATTTTCTTTGTTTGGGTAGAAGTACTTGAGGAACCCAAGAACTTTTCTTGTGAAACTCAGGACTTCGAGACCGTGAGATGTACTTGGTATCCTGGGGTGGACACTGGCTTGGACTGGAATATACAACATTCCCAAAGCTACACTTTATTTGAATCGTAAGTTAGCTCTAGTTGTATTGACAGATTCTTCCTTGTTTGTGACGTAAGTGACAACAAGCTACACTTACATGTTATATACAAAATGTTAGAAAGTTGATACAAATGTTTCCAAATTACCTGCCAGGGTCAGGAGGAAATCTTTAAGTGATCACAGGTGTATCGTACTCTCTACCTGAGCGGTTTCTTTTTCTTCAAAAATATGTACCATAGAAATAAGAAAAATAGTTCATACTATATCTTTATGTGAAAGTAATCTCATCTGATGATCTGTCTCTATCTCATTTTCCAACTTTTTAAGACTACTTAAATTTAATTGATTGAGTTGCGCACGGTAGTGCACACCTATAACCCCAGCTACTCCGGAAGCCAAGGCAAGAGGATTAAAAAATAAAAAGGGCAGGGAATGTAGCTCAGTGGTAGAGCATCCCTGGCTTAAATCACCAGTAGCACACACACAAAGCTGATTGATGTCCTCCCCTCTGAATGAATCAGCAATTCATTAATACATTTAATCAAATATAGCAAATACATAGAAACGGTGTTTTCATTACTGGTATCTTAGTGATGGATCAATGCCAATATGTGGAATATTGTTTTAAAGTCACTCCCAAGGGACAGGGAGAGACATCTGCTTTGACAAAGGAGTAAACCCTTTAATTGTTGTTTTGTTTTSTTTTGAAGATTTTCTGGGAAAAAACAAAGTTGCAAACACAAAGACTCGTGCGATTGGAAAATAACTGAAGATTCACAAGAAATGTATAATTTCACTCTCACAACAGCAAATAACTTAAGGAAGAGAAGTGTTAATATTATTTTTAACCTGAGTCATCGAGGTGAGAATAGATTTGTTACAGCAACTGTGGCCACCAACATACCTGACTGTACGATTGAGTAAATGTGATGTAGGATTTTTGCCTAATACACAGCCTAAGTGAAAGTTATAATTTATACCTGCTGTTCATGCCACACTTACCCTTTAAGATGCATGCACCCCTATTGTTTATTTGGATAATGTTTTAAGCACCTAGTAGCTTACTAACCAACTTAAAAACCAGGACTCTGACATAAACTTATTTCATGATCTATTTCACTGCCTCCCTACCGGTCTCCTTCCACCAAGATTATTTTTGTTTAAATTGTGTTTGTGTATATTCTTATTTTTTATTTAATTCTAAAAATAATTCAATTTTGTTTGGTTTTAATGTGTATGAAGGATGTCAATCTGTGTGTAAGAATCTAGTAACTGCTTTTTATAGAATATTAAATGGCTAAGATTTGCTCATATTGTTGAGTGTTCCTAGTCCATCCATTTACTACAATATAGCATTCATGTAAATATACAATCTTTTATTCACTTATTTCTTTGGATGGATTTCAAGTTGTCTCCAGGTTTTTACTTTTGAGTACCATTTTAGTTAATGAGCATTTAACACACACGTGTTTTAGTATACATATGCAAATGTTTTTCTTGAGTAATGTACCTAAGGATAGAATTGGCAGAGGTATAGAGTATCTGAATGTTTACCTTATATAAGATAATATCAAATTATTTCCAAAGAAATTATCCCAATGGAACCATATTAGGGATGCACATATCTCTTCACATTGGTTATTCTTGCTTTTCATTTTTGCCAACTGAATGGGTATAAAATAGTAGTGATGATGGTTTCAATCTACACATTCTTAGGGCTGAGTATCTCTTCCTATGTTTTGAACACATCTGCTTTCTCTTTTATAAAAATATTTATTCATGCTATTTGWTACTCTTCTATACATTGTTTATGCTTTAATTGACAAGTTATCTGTATATTCTTGATGCTGATGCTTTTTGTTCCTATATATTACTAATATCTTCTCCAGTTTGTACCTTTTCATTATCTTATACATGCCTATTGATAGATAAAAGCTCTCAATTTTCACATAGTTATCTCAAAATATTTTAAAGAAATCCTTTCCTGTCCTTTGATCAGAAGTCTAGTCACCTATAATGCTTTACTAAGAATTTTTAAATTGTTTTTTAAATTAAATCCCTGATTTTTTTCAATTAAATCCATGTGGAACTGATTTTTGTATATTAAATAAGGTAGAGATATAACATTGAATTTCTTAAGTTTCAGATGAGTCTCAACTTAAGGTAAATACCTTCCCTCTTCTTGGCCAAATATATCCTCATGATTCTTGGTGCTGTATTCTTCTATATAAATCTGAGAATTGATACATCAAAGTCTATAAAAACCCTGTTGATTTTTTCATTAGTTTCATGATTAACTTACACATGTAACCTGGATCACTCTCTTTATGTTATTACATCTTCCTATGCATGGAGATGGTATATTTTTACATTTATTTTGGCCTTTGTTAATGTCTGTACAAAAGGTTTTAAAATCTTCCCCCAAATTACTTCCTGCATGGTTTTTGTGCTACGACCATGAAAACAATTTCTAAAAACAATTTAAACCATTTTAAACATTTAATCTCCTCATTTTCTTTCCTATAATTTTGATTTTTTTTAAATTGGGAAACCCCTCCATTTTTAAAAAATAGTTGTTTATTTTCTTTAAAATCCAGTAATTTTACTCTACTCTATCTCCCCCATCAAAGCATTATAGATATTACATATTAGATCCACCTCTCTTCTAACCTTTACTGAATCTTCTTGGTCTATAAGTAATTATGTATTCTTAATGTTCCACCACCAGTTCTTATGCAAATGCTCATCTATTCAGTTTGGTTATTTGAAGTTCATGCTTGTGGGAGCAAAAGTCCAGTGAATTCTTGAATGTCAGTCAAAGTTTGACTCTCGTCTTTGTATTTAAAAGTCAGTTTGAGTGAAGACAAAATCCTTTAGCTTGCATTTTCTCCCTTGAGTGTCATAAACTGCACTTCTCCATTTTCTCCTGCCTTATAGCAATGCAGACAAAGGCCGCATGGTCATGGCAATCTGTTTATTTTCCATTAGAAGCAATGTGATCTTGTTACCTAAATGCCCAAAGGATTTTTTTTTTCTCTTTAAAATTCAGTAATTTCATTATGGTTTGTCTTGATGTTGGCTATTCTAGGTTGATATTTTTGGTAACATGATATGTTCCTTCTGTATGTAGCTACAAATACTTTGAAAGTATTTGAATTATAGGGTTTTGTTGTTTTTGTTGTTGGTTTGTGTTTGCTGAACTATCTACCATGTTGACAGGCAATAAACGTCAGGCAAAGGGTAAAGGACAGACCCTAGTCAGTCAGTTTCCTTCTTTTGGTTTTCTCAGAAATTGCTAGTTTCCACTTATTAGGCCTTCTTTTCAATCTTCAATATGTGCCACTTTCTCTTGAATTATTTTTTATCTCTTCATTTAATTTAGATTATTAAAAGTTGTCTTCTTTTACCTTCTTTCTACTCAAAGGAACGATCAGTTGTGTTCATTTGCTCTTGGGCCTTCTCCCAGTTTAGTTTTCATTTCTAATTCATTTTTAAAAGTTTTGTATTTATTTCTTTTTTGAGTTGTCCCTCAGTTATGACTTTTCTAAATCTGAGTTATATTGTTCTTTAATATCTTGCATCACTTTTTCCAAGTCTTTTGGTCTGTTTTGAAATAGTCTGTTATCTCACTGGCTCTTGCATTACCCATGGTTACATCCTCTTTTCCTTACAAGGTGGGGTTTGCCCATGCCCTTGCTCTCATTTCTCAATCTGCTAGAAGTTTAAGTATTTGGGCTTTTTTCCCCAAAAAGCAAACAAACAAATTTGGCTTTAAAATATTCTTTTAATTGTATCTTTCTTTGCTAATTGAATTTCTTTTTTCTTTTCTTTTTTTTTAAAGAGAGAGAGAGAGATTTTTTAATATTTATTTTTCAGTTTTAGGTGGACACAAAATCTTTATTTTATTTTTATGTGGTGCTGAAGATCGAACCCAGGGCCCCGCACATGCCAGGCAAGCRCGCTACCGCTTGAGCCACATCCCCAGCCCAGCTAATTGTTTTTCTGCTTTTATTTTCATTATCTGTTTTCTTTTGCTTCCTTAGATTTATTCTGATGTTCTTTTTATTTTCGGAAGTTGGATACTGGTTCACAAATACAATGCTTAAAGACATAAATCTTTATTGAAATATCAATTTTATCATCTAAAATAATCCAGTAAATGTTGGCACTGGAATTCCTTTATTATAATGAGCTATATATGATACCATCTATAATCCATGAATTATGTGTTTTAAATTTTACTAATAGAAGAATGTTTGTCTCTTCATTATTAATTTCTAACAGATTTCACTGTGGTCAGTAAAGCTGTCTATGTAATGCAGGTTCATTGAACTGTTGAGCCTTGTTTTGTGGTCTTATACCTTGCCGTCAGCATATGGTCTGTGGATTGAAGTGTCTGTCTCCTGGGATCTTTGTGGAAGTGCAGAATTTCAGACATCAATCTAGCATGCATGAATTGTAATTGTTCTGTGGATCTATGAGATGTGTTAGTTGTGTTGTTCAGATCTTTTATATCCTTGAGTTTTGCTAATCAGTCTACCAATGATTGGGAAGTATTTACTAAAATTACCCACTGTTTATAGAATCATTTCTCCTTATAGTAACGGTAAATTTTGTCTTAAGAATTTTGAGGATATTTTGAATGGAGTGGTTTTCCTTATTTCCATTTCAGATGTTTTGTTGCTGATATACAGGAATGCCTTTGATTTATGCATGTTGATTTTATAACCTGCCACTTTGCTGAATTCATTTATTAACTCTAGCAGCTTCTTTGTAGACCCTTTTGGATCTGTTAAGTATATTATCATGTCATCCGCAAATAGCGATAATTTAATTTCTTCTTTTCCTATTTTTATGCCTTTAATTTCTTTTGTCTGTCTAATTGCTCTGGCTAGTACTTCGAGAACTAAATTGAATAGAAGTGGTGATAGAGGGCATCCCTGTCTTGTTCCAGATTTTAGAGGGAATGCCTTCAGTTTTTCCTCCGTTTAGGATGATGCTAGCCAAAAAAAAAGAAGAATTTTGAGGATATTATCAAACTTATATTTTAAAATTGCTATACCATTTGTATGAGACTTCCTATATCTTTATTTAAAGTTCTCAGTCTATTTGTTCTAATGCCACTTGTCATGGTTTAGATCTGGAACGTCCCTAAAAATCTCATATTTTGAAGGTATGGTCCCCAAAGAAGCAATGATCAGAGGTGAGGCTTTTAGGAAACAAATAGATCATGAGAGCTTTAAYCTCCCTCAGTGGATTAATCCACTTGATGGATTAATAATTTGAATGGACCTCTGGAAGGTGGTGGAAACTATAGACAGGTAGAGCATGTCTGGAGGAAAGAAGTCACTAAGGACATGACCTTGGGGACTCTATCATCTCTCTGGATGCTCACCAACCCCCTTCCCTTGGGGACTCTATCTTCCCTCTGGATGTTCACTAACCTCCTCCTTCCTGGCTGTCATGATCTGAACCACTTTTCTCTGCCATGCCCTTCTGCCACCATGTTCTGCCTCACTTCRGGTTCAAAGCAATGGAGCCAGCCCACCATGGAATAACCAGGAGCCAAAATGGACTTTCATCCCTTATGTTTTTTATATCAGGTATTTTAATCACAGTGATGAAAAGCTGACTAACACTGTTGACTGTAGATCAATTGGTTGTATTCCTGTTGCACAGATCTCTCGTCATTTTGGCATGTGAGCCTGAYTTCTCCTACAAGTGGTGTCCAACAACTTGGACTTCTCCTACAAGTGGATGCCATGCTGTCAGGGCATACTTATCAGGGGAAGATGTAATAGCCTGGGCCAAGTCTTGTGGGCAGGTGATGAGCTGAGGATCAGGAGATAGAGGCCCTAGGAA